GACTGGTATGTTCTACAGCTGTTAATGCCAAACCAGGAACAGCTGTTAATGCCAAAACAGACCTTGGCTTCATCTGAGCCATGTTCTAGGCTGGGACAACACATGATTTAACCTACCCCATAAATTAAGTCAGCAGGACTGCTAAAAACTACCCTGTTTCTTTGTGGCTACAGGTGTAGTTCTGTTTTTTTTTTTAAATGGATCAATGCACACAGGCAAGTTCATTTCTCTTTAAAATGACGGAGACCGTAACAAAACTGCTACGTCCTGCATCTTCTTCTTCCTTCTAGAACAAAAGCACCTATTGATTGTCTTGCTACCTTCAAAGCAAACACTTTAACACAGTTAATCTTTAACTAAGCAGCAGAAAATCCCACGGGGGTGCAAATGATTAACCAAATCACAGATCCAGGTTAAATTCTGGTTTTATCCCGGCTGCCTTGGAGACAGGCAAAATAGAGGCACGAGAAAGACACTGAACTCTTATCAAACTGTGTTTTTTGTATATGTGTAGAAGAGGAGAGAGAAAGAGAGAGAGAGAGAGAGAGAGAGAGAGATCCAGAAGAAAAATTCCTCCCTCTGTCTTTGATTTTGATTCATCATTGCAAAATCCAACTCAGATTATCTACAGGTCAATGAACTGCTTTTATTTAATGTCCACAAAACAGTTGGGAAACACATGTGAACCAACAAATGTGCGTGTTTTCCAGCATCTCAAGCAAGAATTCACGGCTGAGGCTAAGAAACACCTGCCAAATTGGTTTCTAGATACCGTAGTAAGGTAGGAAATAAACTTGAAGATAATCAACTGTCACTCCATCGACGGCTAAGTAAGGCCTTTATGGCTGCACTAACACTAACGGATTTTCAGTTTGTCAGTGATGTAACTGTTTTCGATGGGAAGTTTTATTTAGAGACTTCCACGTTTGCACCTAACTGTGATCAAAACATGCCCCGACATTCTTTTTTTCTGCTGTGTTCTCATGATGTTGCCTTTTTCTGATTCCCTTAGCCAACCTCCGGAAGAGGTCCTTAGCTGTACTGGGTTCAAGAAGTCTTTCCTCCTTTATTCCAACACAAATTTCCCTATGGATACAATCTGATGCAGTTCTTTGACTAAGACCAGTATTCTCTCAAGTTAGAGAACTTTAAGTTGTGTGGACTCCAATTCCCAGAATTCCTCAGCCAATAGCATTCGGATTCAATGGACATTTGCAATCTATTGATTTATAGGGCATCATATCTCAAGGCGTGATCCTTGAGATCCTTTCAGGGGGTCCAAGACGTTAAATAAATACATGTTTTTAAATTCCCTTGTTTTAATTTCTGATATAGTCTAGATTGATAGACAAGAAGCCACACCAACTTTGGGAGTCCTCAATCAATTTTTGAGGTTGAGATTGGACAACCGTTTGTCTGAAACGGTATAAGGTTTCCTGCTTGGGCAAGGGGTAGGACTAGAAGACCTCCAAAGTCCCTTTCAACTCTGTTATTCTGCTCTTGTGGTTCGCCAGTGGCAGGTTGCAGACGGCTGAGGTCTCGGAGAGCGAGGACTCAGATGAGGGGCCTGCGTGGGATGCAGGGATGGGGCCAGGACCATCAGGGAGTGGAGTGCTGCCTTTGGAGATTGTGGAGGCTGGCAGCAGTGATGAAGAGGCCCCTGAGGAGCCCGTGCCCAATGCACGTATGCGCAGGGCTGCTCGTAGGAAAGAGCAGCTGCAGTAGCATGGGTGACTCGGGAGTAAGGCTGCAAGGTAATGGCCCCTCCCTTAAGAGATGAAAGCAAGCCTGAGAGGCAGGAAGCAAAGAAGTTCTTGCACTTCAAGCCTTATGGAAGTTCAGACTATCTTGGTTTGCGTTTGAAGACTTTTTGCTTGGAATATTTCTTGGCAACTTAATCTAGTGCTTTTGGCAGCCTTGCACAACCTTGGTAAGGCTTGTTCTTATCAGAGACCATTAGTTTTAATAGCCTTTTAACCATGAATTAACGGAATTTGCAGAGAAGCATTAAAAGGTTTTGCTTTTATCTCTGTTTGGTGTTTGTTTACTTGGAACAAGGTTTGGGTCAGAACAGTTCTGTTCTTTGTGGCAGCCCCTCAAATATTGGAAGACTGCTATTCTGTCATCCCCAAGTCCTTCTTTTCATCAGACTAGATAAACCCAGTTCCAGCAACCGTTCTTTATAAGTTTTAGCCTCCAGTCCCCTCATCATCTTTGTTGCTCTTCTGTCTCTGGCCATGCTAGTGACACCTGGTTGGCATCTGGCAAAGTTTGGCTGTTTTGAAAAGCTAAGGAAGTTTGGATTTATTTGGAGATCTAGCCAGGAAACCCCCAGGCCGTATGTTAAATTAGGAAGTTAAGAAGAATATTACTGGAAAAGAATAATAGCGAATCCTTTCCATATTATTACTAACAAAACTGCATGGAAACTCCATTGAAATCAAGCTCAACTCTGGAACAATAATGTCCTCAAGTCACATGCAGCCCTAATGCAGTCCCACCAGATCATAAATTTCTAACATTATGTGATTGATATCCATTAACCATATTATATATTTTAGATGTGCCCCAAAACAATTGCTTTTCATTCAATGCGGCCCAGTCAAGCCAAAAGTTTGGACACCCAAGAAAGTTTACAATGCTATCCAAGTATCAGTTTCTATGTGGGTATACAGGTAGTCCTCGACTTACAACCACAACTGGGATTGGAATTTCTATTAAAAATCGGGGCAGTCGTAAAGTGAGTTATTACATGACCGGACCTAATTTTACAACTATATATTTTTTTAACTGGGGTCATAAAGCCAATCGCCACAGTCTTTTAAGTATGGACCATGATCGCGTGGTCGTTTAGCAACTTCCGCTTCCCCGACCGAATTTTTTGTTGGAAAACTGGAACTCAGTTGGGAAAGTCCTAAATTACGACCCCATGACTGCAGGACGCCGCAACCAGTCATAAATGGGAGCCACTTGCAAAGTGCCGAAACTGTGGGTGTGGCATGTCTTTGGTGCATAAGCTCTCAGTGTACATAAAGAAAAAATAAAATACGTTTGGGAGTCTTGGTCTCGATTTGATCACGAGGTTCTTCTTTGTCTAAACTAGGACACTGATAGTCCTTGACTTGTGACCATTCAAAGGTATGACACAGTGGTGAAATGCTACTGGTTCAGCCTGGTTCAACCAAACCAGTAGCAAAAATTGCTACCGGTTTGCGGAACCGGTAGTAAAAAAAAAGCTCCGATGATCAGCTGAGAGGAGAAAGAATCGAAAAGCTCAGGATCAGCCCTCCTACCTGTCCCTACGCTGTTTTTTGTTCTTTATCCGTTTTACAACCTCCCTTGCCGCAGTTGTTAAGGGAATCACTGCTGTTGGTAAGTTAGTCACCCGGTTGTTAAGTGAATCTGGCTTCCCCCATTGACTTCGCTTGTTGGAAGATCGCAAAACATGACCTTTGAAACACAGCAGTGGTCATAAGTAAGAACCAGTTGCCAAGCGCCTGAATTTTGACCACATGATCAAAGGGAGGCTGCAAAGATCGTAACTGTGAAAAATGGTTGTATCACATTCGTCAGTGCCATTGTAACTTTGAACAGTCATTAAATCAATAGTCAAGGACTACCTGTAATCAATTTCAGCCAGGCTTGCGTTTTCTAGATCAGCTCAGCTAGGCAGCCCTTCGCTTACAACCATTCATGTCGCTTTTAAACCAGCATTTCAAACCCAACCAACGTTCTCCTCTCTTGGAATGGACAGATAACTGGTAATCAGAGTTGGAGGGGACCTTGTAGGTCATCTAGTCCAACCCCCTGACCAAGTGGGAGACCCTACACCATTTCTGACAAATGGCATTCCGGTCTCTTCTTGAAAGTCTCAAGTGATAAAGCTCCCACAACTTCTGAAGGCACGCTGTGCCACTGGTCCTCACTGTCAGAAAATTTCTCCTTATTTCCAGGTTGAATCTCTCCTTATTCAATTTCCATCCATTGTTCCTTGTCTGGCCTTCGGGTGCTTTAGAAAATAGCTTGACCCCTTCCTCCTCTCTGTGGCAACCCCTCAAATATTGGTGACGGCTATCATGTCTTCCCTGGTCCTTCTCTTTACTAGACTAGCCAAGCCCAGTTCCTGCAACCATTCTTCATATGTTTTGTCTCCAGTCCCCTAATCCTGGGTGGGATTCCAGCAGTTCACACCTATTCACTAGAACCAGTTGTTAGCATTCTAAGCAGTTCGGAGAACCGGTTGTTAGAAGAAATGACTGGCCTAATCCTGTAAGTAAGACAGGAAGGAAACATTCTGGTGTTGTTTACAGAAACTGCATCTCTGTTAACCCTTATTACATTTCTTGGCAGGACTAGACTTCCTGTCTCAGGAACTCCTCTGGAGTTTTTTTCCCCCTCCTTTGCTGGTACTTTGCTTGTGTGGAGTGACCATTCAAAGTTACAATGGCACTGAAAAAAGGGACTTATGATTTTTCACACTTACAACTGTTGCAGCATCCCCACAGTCATGAGAGGCCAGGCGAGGAGATGCGTGCCTCGATGTGAGTAATATTGAGTTGGCCACACATGACCACCAAGCCATGTCCACCCAGTCATATGACCATCAAGCCATGCCCACCACCTAAGCCATGGCCACAGAACCGGTTGTTAAAAATTTGAATCCCACCCCTGCCCTAATCGTCCTAGTTGCTCTTCTCTGCCTCTTTTTCTAGAGTCTCAACATCTTTTTTATAGTGTGGTGACCAAAACTGGATGCAATAATCTAGGTGTGGTCTTACTAAGGCTTTATAGAATGGTATTAGTACCTCACTTGATCTCAATTGTACCCCTCTGTTAATGCAATTTAGAATTGCATTGGCTTTTTTGGCAGCGGGCTGCACACGGCTGGCTCCTATTTAGCTGGTTATCCACTAAGACTCCGAGATCCTTTTCACAGTTACAGTTACAGATAGGCCACCTTGGAAAAGGTTCCCAAAGCTAAGAGAACCCCCAATACTCACCTGGACCAAAAGACATCCCCGATTCCTCCATCTTTTTTCAGGGCTTCTTGCTGTTGGCCTCTGGCGGCTGGCAGTTGATGCTCCTTGTGATGTTGGGATGCTAGCTGGTTGGCCCCCAAATCCTGCCTTCCGTTGATGCTGATGCTCAAGGCCATTCAAAGGCTTAAGTCAAACAAACGCGCTCTGTGTGTGTGTGTGTGTGTGTGTGTGTGTGTGTGTGTGTGTGTGTGTGTGTGAATCCACAGATGGAACAAGCCACACCAAATCCCCCCCCAAAAGAGAGTCAGAAGCTCCCATCTAACTTTTCCCAAAGTTTTCTAACTCTTCCCAACCATTGAAGTCGTCACCAGCTACTCTTCTTCCGAGACAAGAGACCGGGCTTCAAAGTTAGAAGGCGTTGAAAAAAAGCAACAAGCGGAGGAAGAGAGGCGGTTGTCGGTTGATTTGGGGAAAGGAGTGGGGGGGTCCTCCCTGAGGATAGTCCTCTGTCTCCACGACGCCTAATCCCAGGTTCGCACCGGAGACAAGCCACACTAAAGCATCACCTCGCCGGCCGCCCTCGATTTGGAAAGGAAAAAAGACCAAGGCGGGGGGGGGGGGGGAGTAAAAAAAAAAAAAAGATCCACGTGTCAATTTTGTCTCTTCCTGCTCGGGCCCCCTTCCAGGAAGTCTCGTAACCCGGGCTGCGGCTGTAAAAGAAACGTCGAACTCGGGTTTGTTTGAAGAAAACTCATCCGGGGATCTCCCCGGTCGCTCCGGATCGGCCTCCAGAGAAGCGCAAGAGGAAACGATCACGGCCGCTTCTCTCTTGGCAGCCGAAGGGGCAATTTCGGACTGGAGGCGTCATCGCTGTCCCGGAGCGGTTTCCTCGTTGTTCGCCGCGTGTGCGTGTGTGTGTGTGTGTATTTGTGTGTAGGGGGGGGGGGAGGCTGGAAGGGGGGGGGGGGGGGCTCCCCTTCGCCGTTAGGGGCGGGTCGTTCGACAGCAGCGGCGCCCATTCATTCAGCCGCGGGAGGCTGCTGCGCGTTCCCTTCCTTCTCTCCGTTGTGGAGCTTGGGGGCGCGCGGGGAATGTAACAGATTCACATAGTTGGAAGGGACCTTGTAGGTCATCTAGTCCAACCCCTCACCCAAGCAGGAGCCGCCCTACACCATTTCTGGCAGGTGGCCTTCCATTCTCTTCTTGAAAGGTTCCGGTCATGAAGCTCCCACAACTTCTGAAGGCAACTTCTGTTCCGTGGGGTGGATTGTTCTCCTTATTTCTAGGTTGAAATCTCTCTCTCCTTGTTCAGCCCTTCCATTGTCCCTTGTCTGGCCTTTGGGTGCTTTGGAAAATAGGTTGAGTCCCTCCTCTTTGTGGCATCCCCTCAAATAGTGGAAAGCTGGGAGAGGGGGGAGGAGGAGGAGGAGGAGGAAGAAATAATGGCAGAGGTGCTGTTGGAAATTAGCAATGATCTGAGGACATTAGAATATAGAATAAGAGTTGGAAGGGACTTTGGAGGTCTTCTAGTCCAACCCCCTGCCCAAGCAGGAGACTCTATACCATTTCTGACAGGTGGCAGTCCAATCTCTTCTTGAAAGCTTCCAGGGATGAAGCTCCCATGACTTCCAAAGGCAACTTCTGTTCCATAGGTTGTTCTGTCAGAAAATTTCTCCTTATTTCTAGGTTGAATCTCTCCTTCATCAGTTTCCATCCATTATTCCTTGTCTGGCCCTCAGGTGCTTTGGAAAATAGTTTGACCCCTTCCTCTGTGTGGCAGCCCCTCAGATTTTGGAAGACTGCTATCATGTCTCTCTTAGTCCTTCTCTTTACTGGACTAGCCATGCCCAGTTCCTATAACCGTTCATGTTTTAGCCTCCAAATCCCCTAATTGCCTATATTGCTCTTCTCTGCACTTTCTAAAGTCTCAACATCTTTTCTATAGTGTGGCGACCAAACTTGGACACAGTATTCTGGTGTGATCTTACTAAGCCTTTGTAGACTGGTATTAGTGCCTCACTTGATCTTATTTTTCAGATACTGCAGGAAAGGAGTGTTGGATGTGGCGCAGGGGTTGTTCGTGTCCTAATGCGCAAATTCGGGTGGATTCTCAGCGACTCAAGAGGATGATTTTCCTGGGCTTTAGGGAGATTCTTAGGATCCCAAATGTGGTTTTTTTTCTCTCCTCCCCAATAGACTGGACTTGGTGACATTTTGCCTCTCATCCCAGAAGCTTCTCCGGTTCTCTGGAGCACTCTGAAGAAATGAAGCTTTTGGATGAGAAGCAAAACAGCTTCAAAGCAAAAGCAAAGAAAAGTCCAGTTATCTTTTGAAAAAAGCACCTTTGGGATTCCTGGTTCTACTGCACACCAGCTGGATGTGCAATCCAGTGTGTGATTGAACCCAATCACCCAAAGGTGAGCTGGCTGTGGGCTCGGATGACGTCCTGCTGGGCCATTGGAGGATTTAAAATGGTGATCTGTTCCCAGAAAGTGGGGTGGAAAGAGGTGAGCCTTCACTTCCATCAGTTGGTGTACCTTGCTAATAAAAGAACATTTGTCGCTCAGAATTGACATGAGGGGTCCTTGCTGTTCTCTGAGCTTGTTTTCCTGCAGACGCTTCATTACCCAACTAGTTAACATCACCAGTGCTAGTCAGAATCAGGATCAGAATCGAACTGGAAGGGACCCTGGAGATCTTCTAGTCCAACCTCCTGCTCAAGCAGGAGATCCTATACCATTTCAGTCAAATGTTCAGTCTCTTCTTAAAAACCTCCAGTGATGAAGCACCGACAGTGTCTGAATGCAATCTGTTCCCATTGGTTAACTGTTCTGTTTGGAAGTTTCTCCTTAATTCCAGGTTGCTTCTCTCCTTGATTAGTTTCCACCCGTTGTTTCTTCTCCTGCCTTCTGGTGCACCATTGGAAGGGCCAGATTGGGGCTAGAGGTGTGTGTGAAATCTATGTAATTCTTAGGAACTGGCAACCACTTGATAACACAATCAGTGACGGAGTCTATCAAAGGTTTGACACAAAATTATTACCTATAGTTTTCAAATCGGGATGAACCTAGAATGCAAGCGTGACAAGTGAATAAACGTGGAAAGTATTCTTCTGTCCCGATGCCATCTAAATGTCCCTGTCAGGCTCTAGTACAGAAAATACAATAAATACAATGGCTGAAATGGAGCCAAGCCACCAATATGTTGCCAACGTAATCAACTAGTGACTTTATAATTGTGGCCACAGTGTTTTTTGTTAACCAAAAACTTGATTCCATTGCAAAAAACAACATTTTTTTTTCAAATGCTAACCTTGAAGGTCACAAAAGTTAAAATCCCTGTAATTACAAGATAGTAATAATTTAAATAAGTTTGTTTTTCCTGTGGAAAAAAAAAACCACCAAACTTTATTGAACTGCTCTAAGATAACTGCATTCATCTAGGAGCTCACAGCAGTAAGGTCCCTGTCCATTTCCTCAGGTCCAGCAGGTTCAAATTGTTCCCAGGGTAACAGAGGTAACTCCTCCTTAGACATCTCCACCAGACGTGCCACGAGGCTGGGATCCACCTGAAAACAAATCTGAATAGCTTTGTCCAACAGATCAAATTCCCTTGCGTGCTCCCCTTACCGCATTGCCTTTAAGATGAGCTTTGTCTCCTTATCATTCATTCCAACAATGCTCCTACAAGACATAGCACCTTCTCCAAAAACTGCACGAACCAGCATCATTTTTATGTTACAGGTAGTCCATGACTTACAACAGTTCATTTAGGGACCAAAGTTACAGCAACACTGAAACAAAATGATTTTTCGCACTTACAACAGTTGCAGCATCCCCAATGGTCACGTGATCAAAATTCAGATGCTTGGCAATTGATTCATATTTATGACAGTTGCAGTCTCATGTGATCCCCTCTGGAGACCTGACAAAGTCAATGGGGAAGCCAGATTCACTTTACAACCATGCTACTAATTTGCCAACTGCAGTGATTCACTTAAGAACGGTGACAATAAAAGTTGTAAAATGGGGCAAAACTCACTTAACAAATGTTTCACTTAGCAACAGAAATTCTGGGCTCAATTGTGGTTGTAAGTTGAGGGCTACCTATATTTATATATGTTGCTGTGAAGGTTGAACCTACTTTTCAAGCTTGGATCCCTTGTGGAGTAGGGAGAGCAACCCGTTGTAAATCTAAGATGTTTTGCATACACCCCTCAAAACTACACACAATGTACATATACAACACAGTCTTCGCTACATGGATTGTAAAACTTACAGACTGATGAGAGTGATTAGCACCATTATATTCTCTGAAACATTATTTCTACAAAGAGGTTCGTTAAAAAAAAAAACTAGAAGAAAAACATATTGATCAAAGTTGTATTTAATGCTAAGCAGTTAAGAGTGGAGATCTAACATTATGGAGATAAATTGCAACCATTTTTCACAGCCACTAAGTAAGACATTTCTCGTGTGTATGACAAAAATTCATTTATGTAGTGAGGGCTGTGGGGTTTTATTTTTTGTGAATAATATTTTCATAAGTTATATTTTACACCCTCCCCATCTGAGAATAATTCAAATTGATTATATTATAATTTGTATATGCAAACTATTTTATATACATGTGAATATAAAGATCCCTAAAAGTACCACGGGGACTACACCTTTGCACGCTCTGTAAAATGCATAGCTTTTCTTTCATACCATTTTAAATATTTTTCTCTAAAGTTACCCCCAAGAAACCTTTATAGATTAAAGCTGCTTCAGTGTGAGATGTTTTAACAAAAACCAAATTAAGTAAACCATCATAGTTATATCACACATTTGGCTCTTAAAACACTATATTCCAGTTATTATGCAACCATGGCTTCAACAGAATGCTTGAACATAAAAGAGACCTCTTAAACATGGCTGCAACACAGGATATCTGGTAGAGAAACATGGTCAAGACAACACTGAAAGCTGATGTTTTAAACCAGGGTCTCCAACCGTGGCCGTTTTAAGACATGTAGACTTCCAGAATTCCTCAGCCAGCCATTCTGGCTAGGGAATTCTGGGAGCGGAAGTCCACAAGTCTTAAAAGTGGCCAAATTTAGAAACCATTGCTTTATACTTTCTACATTTTGAGAAGAGGGAAGATAAATTGGTCATATCTAAAGAAAGTCTGGACATTTTGACTTTCAGCGTAGCTGTGCTTAGTCAAATAAAAGAACTTATCAGTCCCAGTTG